CTATCTTGTCGATTTCATATCCAGTGTGAAATAAGCTTTCCATCAATATATAGCTTTGTGTTGTTCAGTAAATATTTTATATGAAAATATCAGTTTAGAAAATCAATACCAAAAACGTGTACAGCATCCTTAAGGTCATCACTGATTGAGTTGAATGATGGTTTTCAACTTTCTCATCTCCATTGTGGATAGAATGATTCTTTGTTATGATAGGCCAAAAAAAAAAAAATTGTTTGTTGCCCCCGGTGACCTTGTGAAAAATAATTCATATTTTTTTTTTTTTTTTAATAGGCCTAAATATTAAAAACTCAGTAGCAGTAGAAAGTAGCAGTAAAAAAGTGTTTCCTCTAAAAATTAACTATCTCAGACCGTTGTTTGACCCCCATGATCACTGGGGATAAGTGGCTAACCTCGAGTTGATCTGTATTTCTCTGAAAAAAACAAAACTACCGACTAAAATTTTCAATTTTTGGACTTGAGGGCAACACAAGTTTTTTTTTTTTTGCCTTATTGAATGGTGTTAAATTATTCTTGTATCTTACTATAGGGCCACAGCTGGAGAAACTAATGGAACAACTACATACAGAATTCAGTAGTAACCCACCATTGGCTGCCTCGTATACCCCAAAACATAGAGACCTATGTGCTGCTAAGTTTGTAGATGGTAACTGGTATCGTGCCAGAGTTGAAAAGCTGCTACCCAACAAAAATATACAGGTGCTTTACATTGACTATGGCAACGTAAGTGGAGTTTCATTTTTAATCAAACTGACTTCATATTCTCAGTCATACATAGATTAAGTGTTATAAAGTGTTATCTCGGAACATGATTACTCAAATTGTTTTCAAATTTACAGCATTAGAGTTTTCAAATAGGTTTCAAACTTGTCCCCTTTGTCATAGATATTTTAAAACTTTTGACACTATAATTTTGCCAGTCTAACGTCAGGTTCAACATTTTATGTATTTTTTTCAATTTCATTGTTAATTTTGTACTAAATGGACATAGTTTCCCATTTTCTGGTCTTGATAACAAATTGGAAATTATCTAGGTTTATTAAGATAACGAAAGTTTACTTTAGTGTTCAATGGGTCAAAGGTTGAAGGATTAATAATATGCAAATCATCTCATTAGTATGCACAGATGGTATTTTGTGCAAGGTTACAGAAGTTGAAGTTTGTGTGAATTAAAAAACAGATATGTTTGCTAACCACAAATGCATGCAGTTTGTAATCTTTTGACTTAATTTTGTTGACTGCTGTGTATATACTTATCTAATTAGAAGAAATTAGTAAATTTGTAACTACTCCATCGATATAGCCAGTGCCACTCATCAAAAGCACTCCTCTTCTAGTTTTGAATTAAAATTCATGCAGATGTTAATTTATTTACACAGCCCTGGGGGTAATATGCTAATAGGAATTAGTTTTTGATTACCATTTATTAATTATTTTTAAAGTTTTTGGTTGCGATTAACTTTAGTACTCAGATTGCTCACATCAGAGCTACATGTGTATTATGTCATCAGGCCTCTTCTTTAAAAGACTAATTTAAAACTTATAATTAATTTTACAAGTATACCTCATTTCAAATTCATGTTCAATATACATTTTTTTCTAAGACTTCTTTGATTTTTTTGGCTATTACAAAACTTTGTGATAAACTTATTGTATTTTCTCTATATGTACATGTACATGTATATATATTATTTTTTTTCATATTTGGTTACATTACAGAGTGATTCCGTTAGTGTAACTGATTTAGCAGCTCTACCACCATCATACCATTCATTGCCAGCGCAAGCACATCGTTATCAACCAGCATTTATCAGCCTACCTACTGATGTAAGTTTTAAATTTGCAATATTCACACGTAAACTGTATTAGTTACTGGCTGCCTGTCTTGACGAATATCATGTTACTGTACAGGACTATCAAAGTTGTAAATAAACCTTTTGTGAATTCTTTGTGGTGTGATCATCTGACTGATTCTGTTAACTAATTGTCGTCTTGTCCAAAGTCGGTTCACTGTTTCTGACATACAAATAAAAAAGCCAAATGAACTTTATTCAAGATTTTGTTTTAAACTAAATATTTACCTGACATACTATAGTGTGTATTGCAAAGACTGACTACAAACGTAATAGTGGATTGTACGACATACATGTACTTGGACAAACATACAACATGATTCTGTCCAAGTTATCTTTTGATTAAACCCATTTAGTTTGCATACATACACCAACTGATTCTTAACCAAAAAAAATGCTTTGTTTGACAGCCTGAAGCATTATCCGAGGCTACAGCAGCTTTCAAACGGGAAGTGATGAACAACAACCTCTTATTGAATGTAGAATATCGAGTCAACGCTCAAGAATTTGTTACTTTGCTTAATGCTGAAAGTCGTGATGATATTATGCAGAATCTGGTCAAGGAAGGATACGTGATGGTTGAAAAAAGACGTGAAAAGCGACTACAGTCACTGATAACCGAGTATAACAAATGTCAGGACCAGGCAAGAAAAAGTCGTGTAAGTCATTAAATTTATTCTGCTCTTTTTGACTCCCATGTGTGAAGCACACAATGGGAGTCTTTGCAGTTAGCCTGTCTGTCTGTCTGTCTGTCTGTCTGTATGGGTGTGTGTGTGTGTGTGTCCCTCCATTCCACTGATATCTCAAAAACCGTATGTTGGTTTTAATGAAACTTGGTGCATAAATGCTCTGGGCTAATTCACTAATTTGATTAGGTTTTGGTTGAAATCCATGCATATTAATTACCTAATTGGCATGACTGTACCACTGATATCTAAAGAGCCATTCATTGGATTTTGATGAAACTTGATACATAGATGCTCTGGTTTCCTTTAGCTGTCCTGTAGTGGTTCATGTTAAAGGTTTTCTTCTTTCACTGTAATAACAGTTTAAGCATTCTCATGTCCAATATAAACATACAATTCTGTATTTGCTTCATTCAAGTACATTTCCAATAGAATCACACATGAACCAAAAATTACATATATTGTATCCTTGAAATGCGTCTCACTTTGATCATAAACTCACCAATGTCATTTACATAATAAGTAAATGAAATACACCACTATTAATTGCCCTAATTTTGAAGGCATTAAACAACATTTTGCTAAATTCATTGTCCAAAGATTCACAATGAATTGTTCAATGCCACAAACATTTGCAAACTCATGAATAAAATTGATGTTTATTCTTTCTCAAAATAAATAAAATAAATTGCATGCATATTTTTATTGTTTAATTTATTTGAATATATAAAGATACATGGATGCTCTATGCAACCAATCTGTGGTCTCTGCCTTTATTGTATAATGTCACTTGATTACTTCACTAATTGTATTTATGAAATCAAGTAAAGATAGAAATACTCACTACTGAACAAAACAATCTTTATGTAACAATACAAAAAACATGGAGCTGGTTATCTTTGGTTACTTCTGGTTGATTGCAAACCTAATTGGTGACAAAAAATTGACAGCACAAAATTAAACTAACTTGTTGGTAGTAATCTACAAACTGTCATCAAACCTTGATTTCTGAATTATTAATAGTTATGTTTTATTTTACAGTTGAATTTATGGCGCTATGGCGACTTCACTGATGACGATGCCAAGGAATTTGGTTACCAGAAATAAGCTGACAACTAGGAATATTTATCTAATTGAACCAAATGCTTAGCTTGTATCATCTACTTTCATAATGACTCTTAGAACATAATATTATCTACTTGAAATATCTCTAGTTACTTTTATCTACTTGAATGCAATGACAAATAGGAAAAATAATTAACAAATTGAGCAAACAAACAAAATGAACCAGTGAAAAGTGTGTAACTGGGAAATGGAATTTTGCTGCTAAAGGTGCTTCTCATACATAAGTGTATGGTTGAATTTTTAAATTTGTTTCAATTTTACCAAACTGTTCCTACAGTGTAATGTCTGAAAATATATATTTTTGTTGCAAAATTGAGAATAGGAATAGGGAAGTGAATATACTGATTTTTATCCCCAATTATTTATTGTATTATTTTCTGCAAATTTCATACAATATTTTGTTAATGTGCATTCAAGATGAATAATCTGCTTGGTAAAAGTTCAAATTTGTGTGTTTTTGTTGCGCAAGATCATTCTAGCTACAACCATCTAAATTTTGTTTATAGCAAATATATTCAAAAGAACAGCAAAGATAGTATCTATCTTGTTAAGTTTGATGAATGGCTTTCAGTTTCTCGGTGCATCCTATATGACTTCCAGTCCTTCCTTGTACATCCTACTTTTCACTGGTTTCTGTGATACCTTGAACTGGTCAGGTGAAAAAAAGCATATCATTTTTGGACATTCACATAGTGTGTATGTAAACCATTCATATGTCTCTGAAAATAAGACATTGATTATTTGTTAGGAATTGTATTTACAAGACTTGTAACCATGACAACTATTACCTTTGTGCCACTTGATGGCATGACTTGGAAGAATCAAGTAGATCTGTCCAACTCCCCATCAAAATGGACAGATGAAACAATAAGCCATTTAAAGTTTGACTGGTTATCAAAGAGATGCAAAACATTGTTGCCATAATACGAATATTATCTTAACTTGTTTTGGTGGTCATCACACTGTTGGACGACATCTTGTATTTCTACCATCGTATTGAACAGACTTAGAATTACAGTAAAATAATCATGTATGATTAAAAATAATTTTCCTACAAAATGTTGCAAAGAACTTTGTGAATTTGTCATTTTATTGAATAAAAGTACTATACTTGTGACTCTTGTATTGTTTAGAAGAGTAATATCATCAGACATGAAATTTGCGTCGGCAAATGTATTGATTTTTACATGGCTTGACAATCACTGCCACAATCCTTGCTTGCTTTAGCCATCACTTAAAAATAAATCATGTTGATAACTAATCTGATGCAATTGTGTATAACTCTCCTGAACCAGGTATTTTCCTGGTGAAGTCTCCACATTTTCTTCAAAAAATATTTCTGATACCTTCTTATAAGCTACACACAAGCTAGACTGTTGACAGTCGATCATACCTAATATTAATCTGTTATTAATAAATATTGTGTATAAACGTAATAGGTGTGAATTGTTTGAATGTCTAGGAAACACAATTACATTAGGCCTGAGGACTGTCAACAGTCTAAAAACAAGCAAACACTGGCTATTACACTGGCTCGTTTCATTATTTTTTTTTTAGCTCCGCTGTCGAGCGGAGCTTATCATATGAGTGATTGTCAGTGTCAATGTTTTACTTTTTCGACTTCTTCTTGAAAACTACAAGCCTGAATGCTTTGATACTTAGTGTACATGTACCTTTGGTAGACCTCTCTCAGATTTCTTCATTTCATGATCATATCTTCAATTCTCTAATTTTGGTGAATATTTTTGTAATTTTTGGTAAAAAGTGATATTTTCGACTTCTTGTTAAAAACCGCAAGTCCAATTGCTTTGATATTACATATACAGGTACTACATGTGGATCTCTCTCAGATTTATTCATTTTGTAATGATATCTTTAATTCTCTAATTTTGGTGAATATTTTTGTCATTTTTGGTAAAAAGTGATATTTTCTTCTTGTTAAAAACCACAATCATTTATGGTGAAAAATGATATTTTTGAATTCTTGTTGAAAACAGCAAGTCCCATTGCATTGATACTATGCAAATTGTTCATTTTCTAATGATATCTTCTGTTCTTTAATTGAAATGTGCATTGCTAACAGCCGAGCTATCTCAGCCGAGAGGCTGCTTGTTTCAAACTTCAATGCAAATTCCAATTATTTTAGATCTGGTGTTGGTCAAATCATAGATGTACGGTATTTTCCCCATTTTGTGTAGACATTATTGAATAATCCTGAATCTGTCTTCAGTACAAAGGCACACAGTTAATTTGGCATCACTCGTTCTATTAACTGTTCAAGCTACTGGGTCACGGTGTGTTGTGAATAGCTAGTGACATCTGTCGATTTCCTGACTAAAATCAGGATAGGGTGTGAAATATGACCAGTGATGTGTTACAAGGATGCATGTGCTTCTTGTATTGGCCCTTTCCAAACATCACCAGAGAGGTATCTCTATACAATTCTTGCTCTGTCATTGATATCGTGTGGGCAATTGAATTACAAGTTTCATTTAAAGTGGAGTAGTTGTATACAAACGTCTACCCATGAGCTTTTGAGTTTGTAGCATTCGATGTGATCATCGGTTGGTACTCAATTCCCGCATACGCAGGGAACCCTCCACTTTAAATAGATTACTTACACAAAATCAACACCTCTTGCTGGTAAAATTTCGAACATAAATTTGTTGTTTTACACTTTAAGTGAAGTTAACAATACGAAATTCTTGTCGATTTTGCTCACCGGTTCGACACCTTGAACTGTAAATCCGCGAGTTTTACGCTTGTCTGTTTCCTGATACAGTCGATGTGTCTAGTTCCAAATTTTGTTCAGTGTCACGGTGTGGACAAAAAGATGACATTACAAATCAATATTGCTTGTATCAAAATCAAGATTCAAATTGAAGCAAGCAACATTAAAAAGCAGCCTCATATGTAAATCCACGCAGTGTAACCAAAATCCTTACTTTGATTACTTAATTCAAACTTGATTAAAATAATTTTGTGTACACTTTCACCAACACCGTTATTTTCAATATTTTTTTTTCAATAGTTGAATCAAAGTTGATTTTTCATTCATACACTGCAATCAATGCCGATTACTTGTACATATACTTAGTTAATGGCGTAGAATATACTCATTGCAGCAAATCACGTTTAAATTAAATGTTAGTAATAAGTGAACAGGGAAATATTGTTGATGGACGTCATACAGGAATACCACATGCGTAGTGAGTATCGATCTGCCCTCAAGGAAATATGCACAGAATTAAAAATGTATTTAACAATAGATTTATACAGCATTGGTATCATACTAATGAGGACAACAATGTTAAATACTTTGAATGTGAACGTGTGTAACATATTACGTACAGGAGTAAGACTTCACGGTGAAATTGTATCATCTGCACCAAAACAGACCGCAGTTAGTGTCTTCAGAGCACGCGGACAAGGAACTGGCAAAACAATTAGATATACTGTGAGTGTTTCAAAGTGTAAGTATTGTGAGAAAATACAATAATCGTTCTGTAATGTTGTAATCTTCTGTCTTGCAGTTCAACATAGATATGTCATGAATTAGTTTTCGTGTATCTGTTGACTGACTTGGTTAGCTGATTACTAGTGAGTGACTGTGTTATGTCTACCATCGTTTAGACCCCAGCGGCGCCATGGACGGAATTAAAGTCATTGATGAGGAACTAAATTTAACGGTTGGTATGTGTTTGTTTCCGATTTAGCAAGCTATTAATCGCGTGGTTATGACGTGTTAAGTACTTCGTGTGATTGAAGGTTACGCCTCATAGTCTTTATACTTCCTTGTAATTGGTTACGTTTTGATGAGTAATAAACGAAGTTTGAATCAGTCTGGTCAAGGTGCTCGACAAGACTGTCACGAAGCGAGAAAGTCTTGGAGACTTTTCCCCAGGGCGTTGTGTCATATAGAGTACTCCACTGGCCGACTAAAGACGAGAGTTAAAACGTATTTCGTTGTGTGTGTCTATTTGACTGTAAAGTTAAAGTGACTTTCCCGATCCTGTACCTCAAGCAGACGTGCATAGAGACACGACAACATTTCCCTCATGACTGGTATCGCATAACTGAATCAGTTTAAGGATTAACCAGTAAATGGAGCTACAGATAAACATAAGTAAATTTCCAGCCGAGATTGTTTTCCAGATGTTGTCGTTCTGTTGTGACATCAGTAATACGAAATCGGAATTCTACACTAAGCATTATGCACACGAAAGGCGAGCGCATTATAAATATTATGGTCATGACCAACAGCTCGAAGGCAGACAACAAATCGTGATATTTTTCGAATCACCATGTGTTATTTATTTTATCACATCGAACATACATCCACCATGCAAAACTACACCTAACATACACTTTTCACACCCGCACTCACACAAAATAAGAACACTTATATTTGAAGTATGCACTATTTTATGTCGTGTATAATAAGTGACACATTACTCAATATAAACATGCATACATAAATTGTATAATCATTGTTCGCTGAAAAAAACTGCGAAATGCACAGTAAACGTTACTTTCATCAGTGCGAATCACTCAATTTATTGAATAGAAAATTATTGGAATTAATTGACAACTTCTCAAACGCAAGTTATTTCAACACTAAGCAGATACAAATGTCAGAATGCAATGATTTTCTCATGAACGTACCGCACCATGTATCTACATTCACAAGTTATTCAGCTTAGAGCGTTCTCGGCGAGTATCGGCATGTAGTAGAAAGCGTCCATCGATTTGCCCTGATGCAAGTTTCAGTGGCAGCCAAGTTTCAGTGGCGATTTTCCGTACCTATGTGCTTCATATAAAGAATTTCCTAAACACAAAAACAAAGTATATTACCCAATATTCATTCGGACGCGTTCACTCCCTATTTCGAATGGCTAAGATTACTTCAAAACCTTGAAAGCAACCCATAAACAACAACGGGTGAGACAGAAGCGTTCGCAATCTACTGCCTTCAAAAGCTTACACTGTGTCAATCGCATAACAAATACTTAGAGTTAGCATGTTGGTTTGCATCTATCAATGGCAACCTCGAAGGCCACTCGGCAAGGTGTGCATGTGGTCAAACAGAGATGGAAGATGATAAATTAAAATTTGCTTAGTTTCAATTATAATATTGATATTATACTACGTTCTGTTTGTTGACACCTAATCGATGGTTTAAAAATATAGTCTGTTGTACATTTCATATATATATTATATCCTGCTTATAATAATTATCTAATGACCCCTAGAAATGTGACATGGTGACAAGACAACACAAAATAAACATCGTGATAAATATTCTAATCTATTTTTAAACAACAACAAAATGTTGTATCGAAAATAATTACATCTTTATCGCAGCAGACAGAAAATGCGTAAAATAACTATAATACCATTTTAGAACAATTAGTTACGTGATGCAAATTACATTTGTAAACATTTTAAAGATAATTTGAATCACTAAAATCAATTATTAAATTACACATAAATAAGTTATACAGAAATGAGTAGAAAATAAATCTCAGATTTGAAGACAAAAAAAAAAATTGTTCAATTCAAGAATCCAATACACTAAAACAATTTTATTATTTTTGCTTTTCAAACTTCAACCATGCTACGTCAAAGTGATTGTGTATCTGTCCCCCTAGGTTTGAGGCAACTTTTTTAGCTGCAGTATTTGTCTTGTACTGGGTCACCATATGAATTGTAATGACACACATTTGGTAATCATCTGATTAAAATTAGGACGAATTGGGTCTTGTGAAAAAGAATCTAGCAGCAATGATGCGTATACTGGTTTCAATGATCCTTTCGAAAAACCAGTAGGGAGGTCTCTACTTGCAATTTTCTCAAACCTTTCTGTGTCAATCATGGATACCAAATTATACTCTTCAATTTCAGTTAAATGGTATCCTTTATCATTACAGACTTCTTTAACAGAACCGATACATTTTTGTGGTACAATTTCAAACATAATTTGGTCGTTTGTCCAGTTTATCAGTCCTGGCGTAGTTAAAACAGTCTTGAGTCCAGAGTTGCATATTGAGAACGGTAGACACATGGGTACGGGGTTCGTATAATAATTATTCGATACTCCTACAACTGTTGTACA